GATCACAAGGATCTACATATAACCTCCTCTCTGGGGGATAGGCAACAGAAGGGTGGGTGAAGGGAGACGCCGGGCAGTGTAAGATAAGATATAATAATAATTTATAAATTATTAAGGGTTTAGGAGGGATGGGGAGGGGAAAAAGGAAAATGAGCTAATTCCAGGAACCCAAGAGGAAAGCGAATTTTGAGAATGATGAGGGCAACAAATGTATAGGTGTGCTTTGCACAGTTGATGTATGTATGGATTGTGATGAATTGTATGAACCCCAATAAAAATTTTTTTTTTTAAAAAGAGGGGCAGGATCCAGATCCCACTTTCTAGTCCCATAAAGTGTTACCTAAGTGAGAGTTGTCCACAAGAGGCTGAAGTGTCTGGTTCACACATCAGAGGAAGACCTGGAACATCAGTGTGCCGGGAGCTTTCAACAAAAGCCATCCCACTTCCTGCAACAATGGAGAACATTGAGCCCCTGGGTTTAATCAAATACCCCCCAAACAAACAAAACCCATTGCTGTCAAGTCAATTCCAACTCATAGCCACCCTATAGGGCAACATGGAACCTTTACAAAAGCAAGCTCCCTCATCTCCCTCCTGTGGAGCAACTGATGGGGTCGAACTGCCAACTTTGGGTTAGCAGCCAAAGCACTTATCACTGTACGACTGACCCAGAAAACCCAAACCTGCTGCCATCTGCTTGAACCTCACAGCCATCGGGTCCTGGGTTTCCAAGTCTGTAAATCTGTATGGGAGCGGATAGCTTCAAGGCTGTCCCAAGGAGTGACTGGTGAGTTTGACCCTCCAACCTTTCAGCAGGCAGCCCAGCACGTGCCCGACAGCAGCACCAGGGCCCCTGCTGCACCACTGAGGCTCATTGCAATCCCAGCTGCTGACAAGCCCAGGTGTTCTTGACGGTGGAAGGATGATCCTGTGATTGTCACAGGTGCCGAAGAGTTGGAGAGCAGGAGCTCAGACGGTCACTATGCGGGGGCTTCCAAACGTTCATGGGAAAACGTCATTCGCTTTCAAGTCTGTTTGTCGCCGAACTTTCTGAACACCCTGGTATAAAAGGGAGTCTCTCAAAGCTCTGTGTCATGTTGTATGTAACTGACCATACACTCACTGCTTCTCACAACCTAGCACATCTTGTTGTTGTTGTTGTTAGGTGTCATCAGGTCGGTCCAATGCTTTGTGACCCTCTGAACAACAGAACAAACCTCTACCTGCTTCTGCACCCTCCTCCCAGTCCGCTGTCCTTAAGTGTGACCCCATCGACGACGCAGTCGGCCGTGTCAATCCTTCCGGTCGAGGGCCTTGCTCTTTCTTGCCGCCCCTCTACGTGGGGACTAATTTCTCCTGACATGTCCGAAGTACGTGAGTCATACTATCTGAGGAACATTCCAGCTCTATTTCTTCCAAGACGAATTTGTCTATTCTCTTGGCATCCCAGGATACTTTCCACTATTCTTCACCAACCCCATCACTTAAATGCATTGATGCTTCATCTTAGCTTCTCAGAAATTGTGTGCTTGTTAAACGAAAATCTGAACTCAAAAAAAAAAAAAAAGAAATTGTGTGCTTGTTTTCAAATGTACGACAGCATATACCCAGCATTTCAAACCCGTGGAGTGAAGACTCTCCGTTCACCCTAAACCTGCCTTGAATGAAGAGCGGGTGGTCTTTGCCTTATAATGCCACTGGCACTTAACGACCATCCTTTATTATTATTAGTAGTATTATTTTACACATCTAATCACCAGTCATAGGTACTAGATACAATGTTGCTGAGTCTAATTTGCTGATGTACACTTGCAGATATCTGAGTTTATGATTTATGGCTCAAAACACTGGGGCTTCAGTTGCTTGGAAACCTGGCCCCAAACACTCGTGGTTGCTAACGCTGATAGGCAGATTCAGGAAGCACTGCGGTGTTCCCGAGAGAATCTCTGAAGAAAAACTAGGAAAGGACCCTACAAACAACCCTCGCTGGTTTTCTGGCTAGCTGGGATGTACCTGCAAGGGCAGCAGTTCAAACTCACCAGCCACCCTGTGGGGAAAAGATGAGGCTTTCTATTCCTGTAAAGTGTGACTGCCTTGCAATCCCACACAGGGAGTCATACTCTGCTGTAAGGTTGCCGTGAGTCAACATCGACTCGATGGTCGTAAGAAAGGAGAATTGAGGCTTATTTAACAAGAGGTCTAGATTTGGGTGCTCCGGCTCCCCCTCTGAATGCCTTGCTTCCCCCTCCTGTTGACGGCAGGGCTGCCACAGTGTGGCACACGTGCCTCCCTGTCCCAGGACTAGAAAGGCGGAGTGATCAGGGAGCAAGAGTCACGAGGGGAGCTTCCTCGGTGGCCTCTTTCTCTCCCTCCTTTTGGAAGCGAATCCAGGAGGAAATGCCTCTGGAAGTCCCCAGCAGGTCCCACGCCAGCATCTCAGGGGTCAGACCTGGGTTAGGCCACCACTCACCCCTCAGCAACCAGGGAGCCATGGAAAGCAGGTGCCCACACTCATGCTCTACAGAGGGATGGCCGAAGGGTGCTCCTTTTCAGAAATGAATAACCAGCGTGTCTTTCAGTTTCAGCTCCAGAATTCGTTTTCGAACACGGCTATCAAACCTACCTGCCCACGGAAGGCAGTGAGAACCAGACAGCCACCGTCATCTCCGTTCCTGCCAAATCTCGCACCAAAAAGCCCGCCGCGCCCCCTGCTCAGAAAAGACTCAACTGTTGCTATCCAGGTAAAGAGCTGCTGTACAGGGAGAGGGAGTTTACACGGGTCCCTGGGCTTCCTCTGAGAATCCCCGTAACTGGATGTGGACGGCCTCCCAGCTCACTCCCTAGATGCCCTGCGCCATTGATATGCGCACCGCCCCCGGTCACCCCTTCCTGGCTCTTGTCACTACATGTGTGGATCCTACGGCTTTTAGAGGCCCGGGCTTTGATGTGGGGCTTGTGGGAACTTCAGCCTGCCATGTGTTTTTCTTCCGGGCGATCTCTGTTGTTTTTTTCAACAACAACAACAACAAATTGAAATCATTTCCAGCTTCTATAAAAGTTGCAAGCATAGCGCCAACAGCTGAGTGTGTACTTCCCTTAGAGAAGGTTCGCATTGGACCACAATGGCTCAGTCCTTCCTCCAGGGAACCCTGTCATTTCCTCTCAGGCCCCTGGAGAATGAATTGCAGGCCCGGTGCCCTTTCATCAGCATGTATTGCCTCAAACAAGGAAAGCGATTTCTAGAGCCGCGGCACAATCATCTCCAACCAAAACACCAAGCTCACTGCCATCAAGTCGAGTCCGACTCATAGCGAGCCGATCGAGCAGGTGGAACTGCCCCTGTGGGTTTCCAAGACTGTAATGCTATACAGGGGAGAAGAAAGCCTCCTCTTTCCCCCTCAGAGCAGCTGGTGGTTTCAAACTATTGACCTTGAGGTTAGCAGCCCACCATGTAACCACTACACCACCAGGGCTCCTGCAGCATCAGCAGAGCTGAGCATTGACCTCTATGTGCATCATTACCAAAGCTGGAGTCCCGAGGTGGAGCAAATGTTACACACTGGTGGTTCTTAAACATGGTGGTTTTTAAAAATGGTTACATGCTGGTGGTGAAAGGAGGTGCCTCCGAAGAACGGCCTGGTGACCTGTGAAATCAGCCACAGAAAACCCTGGGGACACAGTGGCCCTGTAGCACGTGAAGTCGCCGTGAGTTAGAATTAGCTCAGCGCCAGCAGCTGCTCTGATCAGTTCTGCCCTTGTTACGGAAATCTCACTCGTGGTGCCACCATGGTCTGTTCTGTCAAAGGAGAAGCCTTTTTCCCCTCTCCGGAGCACGTTACATTTAGGGTTCATGTGTTGCTGTGTGTTAGAATTAACCGACGGCAGTGGGTTTGGTTTGGTTTGGGGTTCATTCCCTTTCATGGATCCTCAGCTTTTGTCCTTTGTGACCTTCACAAAAATGTCCCCTGCAGTCACCTTTAGACCAAAGCATAATTCAGCTTATGCGGAGGTGTGGGGGGAGGCCTGCCTTAAGCAGGGTGCTTTTTAAAGATCTCTGTGGGATCCAATTGACAACAGCAACTAGAAAGGTTAGATAAGAAACTGAGGGGGTGGTGCCTTGCATTCATGGGGAGGAACATCTTAGAAAAGGAGAGTGGGAATTGTTACACACTGGTTACAAGATGCAGCAAGGCTATAAACCAGTGTCACTTGGCTCCTTCTGTTGGGTTGGTGTACTTGTGCTGTGTGTACTCTCAGCGCCTCCTCCCACCCTACCCCTACCCCAAAAAAGGATTCAATGTATCTTTTTGGAATTGATCTTTCCTTGTCTTTTCCAGGTTGTCAATTCAAGACTGCCTATGGCATGAAGGACATGGAGCGGCATTTAAAAATCCACACAGGTAAGGCACCTCAGACACCCTGGATGCCTGTGCTCTGCTAGGAGCTGGGAGGGCCCAAAGTCAAAGGTGCTATGGGGTGCAGAACCCAATTGGTCTCGGCATAAATCAGCTAAAAGCAAGAGGTGCATTTTTACTAATGATTTTGCTAGGAAATGTTTCAGGCAAGAGTATCCAGTGCTGGAGAGTAGATGAGCCAGCCGTGCAAGGGGGGTTATATGTCATGATCCCCATCTGGCAAAATTAATTGCGATGCTGAGTGTATGTTCTCTTCCCACTTAGAGGAGGCATTTCTATAAAAATAAACGTTCCGGTGTGTGTGTGTGTGTGTGCCAGGCATAGGGAATGTGGAGGGAGGAGAGAGTAGCGTTGCCTCCATCACTAGATACAGTGAACTTGTCTTACTATGACTTTGGTGAAGGGTCGTGGTAAACCCTGGCAGTCCCCAACTTTGTACAAGATTCTGTTTCTACAATGCTCTTGTTAAGTTCGTTCTGACGTACATTGAAGACCTCGTTTTTCTTCTGTTTTTACTGTGCATTACTACTGCTTTTTATTATCAGTGTCAAAATCATAGCATTGAACATCTGCAAGAGAATTGCTGTGAATGATGACGTCAGCAAATCACACATTACAATGCTTATTAATGATAAGATTACCAAAAGTGGTCTGGCATAACTAGGCTGTGCCATAAGTCGGGGACTGCCTGTGTAAAAAGGCAGGGAGTGGGCGGAGAGGGGGAATCATAGCTTAAGAGGACATGGTTTCTGTCAAGGTTGATGAGAAATTTGGAAACTAATAGTGGTGATGGTGACACACTAGGATGAACATGCTGCCCCTGAATTGTAATTATAAATAAGTGTTGAGATGATGAATGTTTTGTTGTATAGATTATTACAATAAAACAAAGCATCAAAAAAAATTACTAGTACAGGGGAACAGAATCAAGGGCTCATGCCTGATGATCTTAATTTTCTTTACTTTTTTTTTTAATATTTCTATGTGGAGAAGCTGCTTTAGTATGACTGTTGGAACAAAGTATTCCCAAACCAAACCATTGAGTCGGCTCTTATATAGCATCAGCAAGGCTGTTAAACATCTTTACAGAGCAGACAGCCAGCCTCCCCTTTCTCCCTCAGAATAGCGGGGGCAGGGGAGTGGAATTTGGACCACCCACCTGGTGGTTAGCTGTCCAGCACTTACCCAAAAGCCCCTAAAGCCACCACTTATCAGAGGGTCATAATTGTTTCAATGCCGGCCTGTACGCTTTCAGAGGGTATACATGTGTACAGGGTAGGACCACACTGAAATTCACTTTGTCCTCATTCAGGGCCCCAGATCGGTGGGTTAGCATCAGCTCTGGAAGGTGTGAGAACTGGCGGTCCTTCTGTTCTTTGTCCTTAACCAGAATTGCCTGATGTCATTGGGATCACCATCCTCTCTCGCCAGCCTCTCAGCATCGTGTCACTTGGTATCATAATTACCCAAATGCTCACATTTCAAATATGTGGAGAGCATTTTCAATATAACAAAGAACAGCAAGTGCCACCTTCTGTTTCCTGTGTCGAAGTTCACCCAGCCCAGGATCGCATACTGGTGGGTGAAGGAATAAACACCAAAAGCCAAACTCACTACCATCGAGTACATATCAACTCAAAGCTACCCTATAGGGCCAGATAGAACTGCCTCTGTGGGTTTCCAAAACTGAACCTTTTCACGGGAGTAGAGAGCCTGGTGGTTTTGAAGTGCTGGCCTCGCAGTTAGCAATCTAGTGTGTAACCCTCTACACCACCATTATTAACAGTGATTGGAAAAGCATTATAGACATATAAATTCGGGCGAGGAGCACGTTTGTCTCTGCATGTTTTCAGAACCTATCTTCTTCCCTCACTTGGCCAATCTGGAGTTGGTGTCCAAGCTGGGGTGACAGCCACGTGACTGTCACCTTTGAAAACATGTCCTGGTCTCAGTTACTCACAGAGCATTAGATGAGTGCATTACCCTTGCCACGAATGTCAGCCGGGTTCTTTAATGGCAGAGCGAGCAGAAACCCACCTGGCTCCCCACCCCCCATCACACATCTGCTCCAGGATGCAGATAACACAGTGGGGCAGCCTGAAGACCTATGCAGCCACTAACGGTGCTGAGAAATCCCTGCATTTTAAATTTTGACTACTAAACTCTTCAGTAACCAATTTACTTTATATAAATTTTTAGATCTATTCTGAAATCCCAGATGTTTATTCTGTGGTGAAAGTGATCAGACTTGGCTGAGAATTGATGTTAGCACTTGACTATTGAGCCTTTGAAGAGAGCCCTAGGTTCAGAGTTCAAACCCACCAGCTGCTCCTCGGGAGAAAGATGAAGCTGTCTGTTTCCATGGGGCTTACAGCTCAGAAACCCTATATAGGGTCAGTAGGGGTCAGCACCGACTCGATGGCACTGGGTTGGGTGGGTTTAGGAATGGTATAGGAGGTTAAGCATTAGGCTGCTACCTGCAAAGGTGGCAGTTCAAACCCACCAACTGCTCCCCGGGAGAGAGATGAAGCTGTCTTCTCCTGTAATCAGTTACAGTCTTAGAAAAACAATCGAGCTGTTTCCTCTGTCCCAAAGAGAAAGGGTCACTGTGAGTCAGAATTGACTTGATGGCAAGGGGTTAATGAGTAGCCGGCCTACTCATTATACAGATTTGATGCCTATGAGACAAAAAGGGAAGATACTGCCCTGCACCCCTCCTCCTTCTAATCTCACGCCCAGTCACCAGCCTTGGTCGTCTCAGGTATGATGCCAAAGTTTTCCTGTGCCTGTACTGGGCCTAAAATGCAGGTTTAAAACATCTATTTCCTCTTTATTAAGTTAGTACTGTAGATACTATCAAATGCCCTGTGCACGATCAAGTACCCTACACACAATAAATGGTCAGGTACTCCATTGCTAATGGAAAATCGACGGTTCGAGCCCACCAGCTACTGCTTAGGAGAAAAGACCTGGCGATCTCCACCTGTAAAGGTGATGGTCTAGCAAACCCTATGGGCAGTGTCATGGAGTGGCTATGAGTCAGAATTGACTCAGAGGCCTGCACCAACAACATACACTAGCGCGGCAACCTGCTTTCTCCATTTCACATGGAGTGCCTTTCCACATTGGTGTGTTCAAATCCCCAGTCATCTCAGCGGCTCCATCATGTACAGGCACAACCACCCCACGGTGAAACACTGCCGTGTTGTGGAAAAAAACAGCTGAACCGGTTGCACCTGAAGAAAGTAGCTAGTGGAAAGGTGGATGGTACCGTGGCTGCAAATTCGAGACAAACCTGGAGATAGTCCCAGCTGCCGAGACCCAGTAAAGCATGATGCCTTTCCAGAAGTATGCGTTTCAGCTGCTGTTAGACAAGAGCTTGGGTTTTTTGTTTTGCTTTGTTTATCCCCATAGACCACCCACACAACTACAAAAAATACAGAGGACCATAAACCAAAAACCAAACGCACTGCCACCCAGTCGATGCCAACTCATAGCGACCCTATAGGACAGGGTAGAACTGCCTCTGGGTTTCTGAGACGGTCACTCGTTACAGGCGTAGAAGCCCCCTCTTTGTTCTGAAGTGCTGCTAGTGGTTTTGAACGGCTGACCTTGCAATTAGCAGACTAACGAATAACCACGACACTGGTTAGGAAGAAAGCCAAGCTGTTTCCTGTTAAAGAAATTGCTCACCATAACTCCCCTGTCATTCATTGGCAAGAACTTGGTCATAGATTCACACCTAGCTGCAAGGGAGGCGGGAAATGTGTTTGTTAGCTGGCCAGCCTTTGTTGGGTGCTGCCTGCAGTTGATTCGGAATCACAATGGGTCCACATTACAGGACAGAACTTTCTTTCCTACAATCTTTACACCAGGTCTTTCTCCCGCAGAGCCCCAGCCACTCCAATCACTTAACCCTTGGCACCCCCCGGGCTCTTGGTTAGCAGGTAACCTGTGAACCTGTAGGCGATCTGCCTTCTAGGGCCCCTCTCTGTTATGATCAACGAGGAAGAGGGGATTGGTGGATACAAGACTCAAGCAACAAGTTCTTACCCTCCCACCGTTTCTGTTCTTTTTCTCACCTGATTTCCTGATGGCGTGCGTGTGTGTGTGTGTGTGTGTGTGTGTGTGTGTGTGTGTGTGTGTGTGTGAAGGAGACAGACCCCACAAGTGTGAAGTCTGTGGCAAGTGCTTCAGCCGGAAGGATAAGCTGAAGACGCACACGCGGTGCCACACCGGGGTCAAGCCTTACAAGTGCAAGACGTGCGACTACGCGGCGGCCGACAGCAGCAGCCTGAAGAAACACATGCGCATTCATTCCGACGAGCGCCCCTTCAAGTGCCAGCTGTGCCCCTATGCCAGCCGCAACTCCAGCCAGCTCACCGTCCACCTCCGCTCGCACACGGGTAGGTGCCTCCCGCAGCGCGCGCGCGGGGCTCCCAGCTTCCCACCGCCTGAGTCCTAAGCGCAGCTTCACCGCACCTGAAAGAGGTGGGTCGGGGCATACGCGCCCCCCGTGGGGAGTGGGGGGTGGGGGGTGTTGCCAACCCCACTGGGTGCAGTGTGTCCTTGAGTACAACCCCGGTGTGGTGGGGGTGTCGAATTTATAACTCTCCATCGACATCTCGGCCTGTCTCTTTATAAAACTTTGTCGCATGTTCCCTGGCAAACAGTGTGATGGATGGAGGACATGCGCTGAAGGAAATCAGGGTAGAGACAGTGCATCTTTCAATTCCTCCCCCACGCATGGGCGAGGCACTTTGATCCTTTTAGAAAGGATACTCCCGAAGCATTCCGCGTGGGAAAGCTTGATGGAATTCCAAGTTAAGTCGGCAGAGGAGGTCACTTATGAAGACATGCGCCTTGTCCTTTGACGGGTGTGTTGGTTAGCTACGGACACGGTGACGCTGTGTGACAACGGGCACAAAACCTCCGTTGGCAAAGAATGGTACCTGTGTATTGCGCACATGCCTGAGGTCAGCTGGCGTTGGCTAGACAACTCGGTTGGTCTTGAGTGGTCGTAATCAGATGTGTGGCACAGGCCAAGTGACCTCGGGATGTGGTTGGCGTTTCGGGTTGTGCTCTGAGCAGCTCTCCCACTTTTTCCTGGACCCTGAACTAGCCCAGGCTTGTCCCTCTAGTAGTGATGGCCCGGACACACATCCCAAGGTGTAAGCATGTTTCAAGGCTGCGTTTAATCTGAAAACATCCCATTGGCTCAAGCAAGTTGCATTGGATGGGCCTGGTAGATTGAAGTTCACCCTCTGTTCCGAAGCACTACGAAATCCAGGGAGGCAGGGAAGTGTCAAGAATCCAGGCCATGTTTACCAAGGACCACCAACTGCCGTTATACCCACCACCATTCACATCTCTCCCACAATGCGAAATGCACTCCCCTCCCCAAACCACTACAAGCTTTGCGCAAACATAGGACCATGAAAGACCAGTGTCTTGTGATCTGTGATGGGCTGGGATGTGGCTCCTCTTGATCTTTGACGTAAAAAGACAAATTGTCAGCCTTCTAGCACACCCACCATGTAAGGGTGGAACAGAGCCAGGATTATATTACCACTCAAACGGGAGTCATCAGCCAGCCAGCCAGCCAGCCGCTGTCCCCAGCCTTGCTAAAGCCACTCTGGGGACAGGAAGTATTTCTTAATTTGGCTTTGGATCCCCTCCCTGGCTCCTGTGTCCCCTGGAACACCCTTGCCGTGGCCTTCCTTAGCTACTTCTGAAGAAGACTTTCTCAAAAGTCTTTGGAGAAAAATTCCGCCTGCTTCCCAACTAGAAAACACTTGGGGTCTTTTATGTGTTGTTTCAGGTCTACGCTGGCAACAGTTTGCCAAGAAACGCAAAAAAGCCAAAGTCACTGCCATCTAATTAATGCCGACACACGGCAACTCCGTAAGACAGAAGAGGGCTGCCCATGTGGGTTTCCAAACTGTAAACCTTTATGGGAGAGTGGAAAGCCTCCTCTTTGTCCCATGGAATGGTTTCCAACCACCCACCTTGTGGTTAGTAACCAACGTGTGGCTCCTTCTGACAGTAGAGCTATCTTAAAAACCATGTGGATGTCCTGTGTATCCATCCGTGTGCCAAAAGTCCTCCCTTCCCCCACAACCCAATTCTTTTAAAGACTTGCCTTCCTCTGTAAAGTCAATGATAGGCGCTTCCAGCACCTCCGGCTCCTGTAGCTGGAGTTCTTTGGGGTTTCTTTGGTGTACCTGAGAGATGCTACTTGGCACCGGCTAAATATCCCCTTAGGCGTCATCAGAACATCTCGTGTTCACCTCTCTCTTTTGCTTTTCCCACTAAGATCAGTCTCCTGAATAGGATGTTTTCCCATAGCTTTATCTTCTCTGAAAATCTTTTTCTGGCTACAGAAGCCAGAGATGAGAAACTTTGCCAGCCTGGCAAGCCTTGACCTTTCTATATGTACCCTTAATTCTACCAAGAAAACGGTCTGCTCTTTTTTGAAGCATGTCTCTTGTACTCTGCCGCTGGTCAGAGATGGCAGTGAGTCACTCTGCGGAAGCCCCAAAGTTCACCAGGTGTGTTTTCTAGCCTCTAACTTACCCTAGGTGACAAGTGCTTTGTTACCAAAACATGTGATTTGCCAATTTTCTCGCCGCTCTCTGCAGCATATGTTGGGGTTCTGTTATGGGGGAGGGAGGATCTTGAAGTTGCTGTTGAGTTCATTTCAACACCCGGCAACCCCTTGGGGTCTGCGGGGGAAGTGTGCTCCGTAGGGTTTTCGGGGTCAGAGTTCTCAGGAGTAAGTCACCAAGCCTTTCTTCCGAGGCATCTCTGAGTGGGCCCAACCACCAACCTTTTGGTCTGCAGCTTAGCACCTGCCTAACTATCTGTGCCACCGGGAATGTTGGTGTATGACAGCGCCTTGTTTCAAGGTCTCAACTCTTCAATCTCTTGGCATCAGCGTAGGGCTGTGTAAAACCACCAAGCCTCGGTGGCATCCATTAAGCCTCTTTGGTCACTTGTTGGGGGTTTGCTCTGTGAGTAGGAAGCCCAGCTGATTGAGGTGGGCTCACGTCCAAGTCTGGGATTCTGCTGGCTGTGAGCCAGCCGTCCACTGGCTTGGCTGGGAGTGACCCAACTTTGCTCCATGCACTTCTCATCCTCTGCCTGGAGCCAGTAGAGCAAACCAGGCTTGACCTTTTCATGGGGTGGTGGAGGTGCACGCCAACAAGCCCCAGTGCACAAGGCCCATCTCAAGTCAATTAAGACCTCATTAGCCAAACCCAAGAGCCCAGCATTGAGGGTCACAGCAGCCCCCACCCCCACCCCTTTCGGTGGAAGAGGCAGATTTCCTGGCAGATGCCATGGCTACATGTAAGGCTCAACAGAAGACGTTTGGGCCCCTTATCATAATCCACTAGAGCAAGTCCAGATACTGGCATAAGACGATTGGTGGGATGATAGGCATGAAAAGCATTTCTGGTGAGGGCTAAGGAGGAGGTGAGGAGAGCTGGCACACAGGAGACAGCAGAACACCTAGAGGTAGCAACAGAGAACCAGGTGACCAGCATAAGGTGCCATGGGAGCCAAGCCACAGAGCAGGAGAGCTGAGTACCTTCAGGGAGGAGGTAGCCTACCGGGAGCTCTAACTTGCCAATCCAGGGAGTGAAAGCTTAGGCCTAAGAGGTCAAAGGAGTTGAGCGGCAAGGAACCAGGAATAGGGTCATGAGCTCCGGGGGTCCCAAAGGGTGGGGCTACACCAGCTGGGTTTCGAAGAGTCAGATCTTCACCAACTTGGTTCTAGAGTATGAACCCATCCTCTACCATCCATCAGTGCCAGGTGGCTAGTTCTGCTGCCCCAACCGGAGGGAACCTCCTGTGATTGAGGGTGTGGGGTCACCAATCCTCAGTGAGACTAGGGAATGAGGCTGCTCAAGTAGAGGGAGCAGAGTTGCCAGTACAGCGGGCCTGGATGGTGGAGCTGAAGGCCAGGCCTGAGGACTCCCCAAAGAGAACATGGCCAACACACAGTCTGGAGGGCAGGGCCATTGCGAAGATGGTCTCAGAGAAGGTGGATTGTTCTGCTGGGATTTTTACTTACTCAGTTCCCGTTATTCTTCTCTCCTCCCGGTGACTCCCATTTGTAATGGGAATGTCTACCTTGTGTCGTTGCACCGTTACACTTTGAAAGTAGCCCCCTTGTATTCTAGCTTCACGAATGAAGACGGATTTTGCTCCAGGATGGAATTTGGACGTGGAGTTGTCTTTTGGTTAAAGATTTTGGGGAAAATATGATGGGGTGAAAGTGTTTTGAATGTGACAAGGACATGAAAGGGGTGTGTGCAAAGGATGGAATGTCATGGATTGAATTGTGTCCCTCGAAAATGTATGTCAATTTGACTGGACCATGATTTTCAGAGGTATGAGAGTTATGGCATCAGATAATTTGGCAGTTATGAAATGATGTAATCAGCCCCCGTGATGTGATCTAATGTCATCAATCAGTTGTTAGAGGATTAGGGCAGGATGTAACTCTCTCAATTTCATCACAGCCCTGATCTGATCTAAGGGGAGTTCCCCTGGGCTGTGGCCTGCATCACCTTTTATCTTACAAGAAACAGAAGGAGAAAGAAGCAAGCAGAGAGGAGGGACCTCAATACCACCAAGAAAAAAAGAGCCAAGAACGGAGTCTGCCTTTTGGAATCAGGGTCCCTGGACTAGGAATCTAACTGACTCGGGATAAGATTGGAGTCAAGACACAAAGAGATCTCCAAGGAATACCTGGCCCATACATGTTAAAAGGAGACAAGGACCTTGGGGGGTGTGAGGAGAGAGAGCCCTGTTCTGGAGCTGGCCCTCTGAACTCAAATGTGAGTTAACTGAGACAGATGAAAGAAGTGAGTTACATCGTCATTATTTTCACTTTTACTGACACTGTGTGTGTTCAACACTTTTTTAAAATAGGCAAGAAAGCAGATAGCAGTCCTGTGACTGTGCCACCAGTAGAAATTGAAAACATTTTCATAAACTTCACAGTTGCTTCTGGTAGATCAAAATAGCTCATCTCCTTTGGTACTTAGAAATCATGGGCCCTGGTTTTACTGAGGAATTTTACGAAGCATTTAGAGAAGATTTAACACTAATCCTACATGAACTATTTCACAATGTACAAACGAACAATATACTACCAAACTCATTTTATGAAGCCAGCAAAAATATCACCAGAATTGAAAATCATAGGCCAATATCCCTGATAAATATAGATGCCAAAATTTTCAATAAAATTATAGCCAACAGGATTCAATAAAGCATTAGGGGGGAAAGAGCATTATCAAGTGGGATTCATTTGGGTTTGCAAGAATGGTTTAATATTAGAAACGCAGTCAATGTAATCCACCACATAAACAAAGTAAAACATAAGAACCATATTATATCAATAGATACAGAAAAAGCATTTGATTAAATTCAGCATTCATTTTTGATTAAAAAAAAAACACTCAATAAAATAGGAATAGAAGTGAAATTTCTCAACATAATAAAGGCCATATATGCCAAACTCAAGGCTAGCATCTCACTTAACGTAGAGAAATTGAGAGCATTCTCCGCACTGCCCTTAAACAAGAACCAGACAGGGTTGTCCTTTTTCCACCATTTTTATTTAATATCGTCCTGGAAGTCTTATCCAGAGCTATGATGCATCATAAAGGTATTGAAGACATCAATATTGGTACAGAAGAAACAATACTCTCCTTGTTTGCAGATGATATCTTAATATAGAAAACCCCAAAGATTCTATAAAAATTGCTGGAGATAATTGTGAAAAATTGGCAATGTAGCAGGCTATAAGATTAATGTACATAAATCAGTTGGAGTTTTTTAATATTAAAGAAGATGACTCCTGCAGAGTCATCCTCATGATTTCTTACCCATGAGCTCTAAACATTAGTCTGATGGCTAAAGGAGGAGGAAAGGTAAAACTGAGACTGACTTGGATGCTTTTGTGACATACCAGTTGGTTCAAACTAAAATAAATAGAAATAAACCAAGAAGATATCGCTGAAACGGAAATTGAAGGACCAACACTACTTACAATAACGACCCAAAAGATAAAATATCTAGGAATAAATCTTACCAGGGAAACAAAAGAATAATACTAAGAAAACCATGGAACGCTTCAACAAGAAACCTAAAGAGACTTACACAAATGGAAAATTGTTCCGTGCTCCTGGATAGGAAGACTAAATATACTGACAATGCCAATATTAACAAAAACTATAAATTCAATCCACTCCAATCCCAGCACAATTCTTCAAAGAAATAGAGGGAAAAAACTAATCACCAACTTTATATGGAAAGAAACGAAGCCCAGGATAAGCAAAACACTGTTAAAAAACAAAATAGGAGGCCTTTCACTCCCAGATGGTAAAACCTATTATACAGCCATGGAAATCAAAACAGCTTGGGACTGGTACAACAATAAACATGAAGACTGATGGATTAGAATTGAGAACCCAGAAATACAGCCAAGGGCCTACAGACACCTGATCTTCATTAAGGACGGAAATGCATTAAAACACATAACTGGTGTGAGAAAAACTGGATCTCCACCTGCAAAAGATTAAAGCAGGACACCCCCCTATATCACATCATGTACAAAAGTGAACTCAAGATGGATTAAAGATATAAATATAAATCCTAGAACCATTAAAACCAGCAATGGAAAAATAGGGACAAACTTAAGGGCACTAATACAAAGCATAAATACACTACCAAACATAATGAAAAATGCACACTGTAGAAAATAAAATAGAGGACTGGGACTTTCTAAACATATGACATATATGCACACCAAGAGACCTCAACCAAAAAAGTAAAAAGAGAACCCACAGATTGGGGGGGAAAGATTGAACAATAATATATCAGATAAAGGGCTAATTTCAAAAATCTATAGAAAACTACAACACTTTAATAAGAAAAATATAAATAACCCAATTTTTAAAAAATGGGCACAAGACATGAATAGACAATATACTAATGATGACATCCAGGCGGCCAACAATACAAAAAAAATTCACGTTCATTAGCCTTAAGAGAAACAAAACAGCAATGAGATACCACCTCACACTGACACTCTTAGCAAAATTTTTAAATGATGATAATAAATGCTGGAGAGGATGTAGAGATATGGGAATGCTCATACATTGCTGATGGGATTGTAAAATTGTACATCCCCTATGGACATCAATATGGTGCTTCCTTAAACAAATGCAAATACAAATACCTTATGAACTTCTTAGGATTTGTAAGACCATAAATATTTATGGGAGCAGGTTTGAACCACCAATCTTACAGTTAGCAGCCAGATGCTTAGCCACTGTGCCACCAGGGTTCCCTGTTTAGGTATAGGCTTTTCTAATGATAGAAGTTTGTTGAATTACTCTCTGCCATCTTTAGTTATTAATCTGTCCATAGAGATGCTGTAGGCCCCGTCCCAAAAGCTGGAAAAGAATCCCCACTCGTTTGAGCTCTCTGCCTAGAGAATCGAACAGTGGTTGGATGTACAGATAATTTGCCCAGCAGTCAAGGACATTAACTTTAAAATCAAACCTGAGTTGAAACCCAAGCTCTTGCTTGCATTGCAAGCAACCGCAATCAAGTCTGAGAATATTTTTCAGCCTTGCTCTTATTTGAGTATTCACAGTGGTAGTACCCACAGCCACCTCCTGGGGGTGTCTTGAGCACCCTGCTCAGCTAAGCAGCACCTGCCATCCCAGAAGTTGGTGCCAATTGCCAGCTGCTGCCATTTGACTGGCTTATTTGTTTGGAATGGGCAGGGACCACCAGCCTTGAACTACCAAGACCTCATTAGGACTTGGCATGCATTGAGAACATATACGTGGGATCTCGCGTCCACTACCCTTACCCCTACCCCTACCACCCCCAACCCGTCTTTCTGGGAATCTGATTCCCCCACCCCCCCCAAAACAGCTGGATGTTATAAACTCACAAGAATGCAGCTGGGCTATGTAGGGTACGTAAGTGTTGTGCAAGCAACAAGTCTTTATTAATAAAGATCTTCCTGAAGGATTACCTCATTTGTAAAAAGAAAAAAAAGTAAGAAGGGGGAGGAGAAAAAAGAGCTGATCCCAAGGGCTCCGTGGGAAGTAAATGTCTAGAAGGGAATGATGGAATATATGTACTAATATGTCAGATACAATTGATGTATGGATTGTGACAAGAGTTGTAAGAGCCCCCAATAAAATGATCTTTTAAAAAAAGTACACTGAGGAATGACTACGGCAAAGATTAGAGGGACCTGAAACGATTTCGTTCACTCTGTGATCACACTGGCTCAGTGGAAACAAATGGTGCACAATTACACAGCTCGGCATCATTGGCTTAGCAGATTGGGCGCGTTCCCGCAAGGAACTGTGGCCTGATTGTCTTTTGGGAATATACTAAGTATATTTGCAACTCGTATGTTATTTGGGCCCGTGAACTAGCTCTTTGCAATCCCCCGTTTTTGTTTGGTTTTGATTTTTGCCTTTTGGGGTTTATAGCTCGCACCGTGCGGCCCGAGCACAGTGGCGGTGGAGAATTGGAGGAGGAAGAAAAGCCCTCTCTTTGCCCCCCTACTCCGCCTGCCTGCCCTGTCTGAGCGATTTTCTGGGGGGATCCGCGGTGGTTGTTGCCTGCCTGTTCTTATCGAAACTCACCTTGTGTTGACAGGGGACGCCCCCTTCCAGTGCTGGCTCTGTAGCGCCAAGTTCAAAATCAGCTCCGACTTGAAAAGGCACATGCGCGTGCACTCGGGGGAGAAGCCCTTCAAGTGCGAGTTCTGCAATGTCCGCTGCACCATGAAGGGGAACCTCAAGTCGCACATCCGCATCAAGCACAGCGGGAACAACTTCAAGTGCCCGCACTGCGACTTCGTGGGCGACAGCAAGGCCACGCTGCGGAAGCACAGCCGGGTGCACCAGTCGGAGCACCCCGAGAAGTGCGCCGAGTGCAGCTACTCCTGCTCCAGCAAGGCGGCCCTGCGCGTGCACGAGCGCATCCACTGCACCGACCGCCCCTTCAAGTGCACCCACTGCAGCTTCGACACCAAGCAGCCCAGCAACCTCAGCAAGCACATGAAGAAGTTCCACGGCGCCCTGGTCAAGACCGAGGCCCTGGAGAGGAAGGACGCGGCCAGACAGGGCGGCCGCCAGGTGGCCAGGCTGGACGCCAAGAAGACGTTCCACTGTGACATTTGCGACGCCTCCTTCATGCGGGAGGATTCGCTGCGCAGCCACAAGAGGCAACACAGCGAGTACAGCGAGAACAAGACCGCGGACGTGGCCGTGCTGCAGTTCCAGGTGGAGGCTGGCAAGCAGCCCGCGGCCCCAGCCAATGCCGCCGCCGCCGCCACGCCCCTCGCCCTGGGGCAGCTCCAAGTGCCCCTGCAGCCCAGTCAGGCGCCCCAGTTCAGCGACGGCAGAGTCAAAATCATCGTTGGGCACCAGGTACCCCAGTCCAACACCATCGTCCAGGCCGCCGCCGCCGCCACAGTGAACATCGTGCCCCCTGCCTTGGTGGCTGAGAGCGCAGAGGACCTCCCTGGAAATAGCCGGCTGCAGATCCTGCGCCAGGTCAGTCTGATCGCCCCTCCTCAGGCCGCGGGGTGCCCGAGCGAGGCGGGAGCCCTGGCGCAGCCCGCCGTCCTGCTGACCACCCACGAGCAGGCGGAGGGCGCCCCGCTGCACCAGACGCTGCTCCCCGCGCCCCCCGGAGGCTCCCCGGAAGGGTCCGCCAGCCAGACTTTCATCACCGGCTCGGGCATCACGTGCGCCGATTTGGAAGGCCTGAACGCGCTGATCCAAGAGGGGGCCGCGGAGGTGACGGTGGTGAGTGACGGCCAGAACATCACCGTGGCCACCACGGCGGCCCCCATCTTCTCCTCCTCGTCCCAGCAAGAACTCCCCAAGCAGACGTACTCCATCATCCAGGGGGCCGCCCACCCCGCTCTGCTCTGCCCGGCCGACTCCATCCCAGACTAGGACTTGAATAGTGGGAAGGGGCGGGGGGCGGGGAAACAAAGTAGAATGCTGTCTGAGGTTTGTTTGCTCCGAGTGTTTTTCAGGAATGCCGCCCCACCCCCAAACAGGTGTCTTTGATGTTGCCCACTCATCACGTCCGAGAGCACCTCCCATGTTGTAAGTGTAGAACATTGCAATTGCCACCAAGGTGCATGTGAGGAGGGGTTGCCTGGAAATGAAATTCAGTGAGTGGCCCCGAGACTATGTTGCTTTCCAAATCCATTTCCCAACTCTAATAAAGGTTCGGTTTGTGTTTTCTTTTGTTTGTCCGTTTAAATGAAAGCTGATGGTACTCGCAGACTCCCCCCTGCTCGGAAATGTCCTATGGAGTTTGAGATGGTGGTGGTGTTGGCCTGGATACACCGTGCTTGGCAGGTTGATCGTGTTTTCTCTATCATGTGACATGGATTACACACACACACACACACACACACACACATACACACACTTCCCCTGAAATGCTTCCGGTAATCGCAAACCAACAAACCAAGAAAATGGTTTCCTAATAAATTGATACATGATTAAAATCTCCTGAGTGCAAAGATAGTTACCAGTCTCGAGTTGAGGGGCTGATCATCGAACAGTTGAAGTGGATCAGACGAGGTGCCGCCTGAAACCAAGGACATGCTCCGAGGATGCAGCTCCGAGGCTGGGAAGGAGGAATGGGAGCCGGAAGCGCAGGGGGGAAGCGGACGCAGGGACAGCTCGTGGAGGGGCTGCCCAAAGTGGGTGTGAGTTGAGTGTAAAACTGGTGATCCGCTCTGTAAACCTACACCCAATTCACAATTTACAAGTTCAAGCATAAGCAAAGAGTGAAACAGAAGAAGCAAAAAGAGGTTTCAAGGCCCAGCTTATAAATATTCATGAGCCTTGAGGGCACACCAGTTAAGCATTTAGCTACTACCTGGAAGATTGTCAGGGGCATTTCTGCAGGACAAAGACCTGGCAGCCAGCTCCCGCAGAGACTCCAGCCTACGCTGTCAATGAGGTCGCAGTGGGTCGCCATGGACTCGAAAGCACTAAATGGCCACACAACACAAATAGTATGCACGCATCTCACCACCTTCCCGGGCAGATGAACTGTGTACCGGATGTGGTTTGACGCCGTTTGCATTGTCAGGCCCCGATGGACTTGTCCTGCGGTTGGTTGACATCTGAAGCAATCGCCTACTAATATTTAGGACGGAATTGTCTAGGATGCCACTTTGGGGGGGATACTGGTACTTGTGCAGCAGATGCAGGGACCGGTTGAGTGGCCTCGTGCAGGCAGCCAGGTGTCTCCATAGCAGAGACGGTATGGCCATCATGACCCCGTGTGCCACAGAAGGAAGCTGCCCAGTCCTGCGCCATCGTCAGCGTCATTGCCACGTGGAGCCCACTGCTGCAGACACTGTGTCATTCCATCTCATTGGGGATCTTCCTCTTTTTCGCTGACCCTACGCTTTACCAAGCACTATGTCCTCCAGAGACTGGTCTCTCCTGATAACATGTACGGTGGACGGGAGAGATCTTTCTCTACCTTCACTTCCAAGGCGCGTGCTGGCTGTATTTGCTCCCAGACAACTTGGTTTATTCTTCTGACCGTCTGAATCATTCCAGTGCATCCGCTCGTAGCGCTTCCTTGCTCAACGCCCAGCTTTCAGGAGCGTAGGCGGCTATTGGAAAGACCGAGGCTTGGGTCAGGGGCGCCTTAGACTTCACACAGAGAAGTGTATTCTCAAAACTCCCTGACATCCTGTAGACTGACTCATAGGATTGCAGAACTGCGGAGGAGACAAACTCTTTGCGGTAAGGGAAAGCCCCACCTTTCTCCCTGGTGGCTTTGAACTGCTGACCTGTGGCTAGCAGCCCAACATGTCAACCAGGGGGCCACCAGGGCTCCTGAGTGTGTTGAGAGAGAAAGTCAAATTACCGGTATGGTGTTTTGAATTAAAATGCTGTTTGCCCAGTAGATGGAACCAGAGAGCCAGCTAGAATGACCCTTATTGCGGCCCAACAATGTTTTCTAAGGAGGTAACGCCTCTGACTTCTCCAATAGGAGCATCTTCAAGGAGTCCTGGTGGAGCGGTGGTTCTGCCTTGGGCTGCCATCTGAGTAGTCAGCAGTTTGAAGCCACCAGCAGCTCTGCGAGAGAAAGACCAGGCTTTCTACTCCCGTAAACAGTTATAGTCTTGGAAACTCACAGGGGTTCAGTATGAGTCAATGTTGACTTAATAGCAGTTTGGGGTTTTTTTGGAGGGTGATCTTCAGGTCGTGGTGGGCTGTTAATATTGAATGAAATGTGTTCTCACAATGTCAGCAAGGCGTGGTGAGGCAAATTTAGCATGTTATGGGGGTAGTGCAAATGGGCACGGCTGCTAGGGGAAAGGTGGGAGGTTCTAGTCCACTGGAAGTCTCCTGGAAAGATAATTCAGCTGTTGCAAACCCTCTGGACTCACGCACACCGGGGACACCAGAAGTCTGACCCTTCTCAACTACAACCGGCTTCTTAGACACACTTCCACCAATGTTGTTGCCACTTTTATTCTCCCTGCCCTGCCCCAGCACAAATTTGTTTAGTCAAAAACTTCCCAAAAGATAAATCTCAGTTTTGCATGAAGACTATCCCCTCCTCCCCTTCCCCATTTTAGGGGAGGGGGATTAATAAATAAAACCAGTGTCATGTAGTCAACTCTGATTCCTTGTGACCCTGTTTGTGGGACCCCGTCTGTGTAGAACTGAGTTCCATGGGCTTTCAAGGACTGATTTTCCAACAGTGGATGACCAGGCCTTTCTTCCAGGTACCCCTGACTGGACTTGAACCTCCAACCATTCTGTTTGCATCCAAGCACGTTAACCATTTGCACCACCCTGGGACTCCAGTAACAAAGTAGGGAAATTACATGATGTTGATTTGGAAAACTTGATGGTTTGTGTGTTGGATGTGAAAAATTGGTTTCCCTTAGGAAAGAGCTATAAGACTTATAACTGGACAGTTACACTAAGTCACACGGACAAGTTCACTGTCATGGTGATGCTGACTCAGCGTGACCCTTTATGACAGGATAGAGCCCCTGTGGGCTTCCAAAACTAGCTGTGGTGTAGAAAGCCCCCTAAGGTTCCTATCGAATCTTTCAAGTTGCTGATATCAATTTCATCTCATATAGATAATTCTTAAAAGAGCATAATGCTCAAGAAAGTCATTTTTTACTAAGTCAAGAGACTTCTCAGGATGTTTTGTATTATGATTGAAGATTATTTCAGGACAACAGTTTGAGGGGCTCATCTAGTTTATAGATTCTAGAAGAATTTTTAAATTTTGTTCTGCATGTTCCCCCTTTTGATCAGGATTTTCCTATGGAATCTTTGACCCAAATGTTCAGGCCTGGTTGCCGGGCACCATCCTGTTCTTCTGATCTCGTGGCAAAGAAGCCCCAGCTGGTGTTTTGATCTATGTTTCCATAACATCTCTGCATGAGTGTTTGGACCATTTATGTTTTCCTCTTTGTGAACTTTTGATTGCTACTCCCTCATTTTTTCCACCTGGCTCCAGGATCAACAAGCTTTGAGACATACTATTGAAAATTTTGTTCAGTTCTCATTTGTCTTTTTTATTTTCATTGTGCTGCTGTTGCCATATAAAAATAACTGTTTTTCTATGAAATGAAGTCACAAAGTATTGCTACAACACCTTAGAAACCTTTATTAAACAAAAATGTGAAGCTATTGTTTCTCCATGTAGCCTCCAGTGACTGGGGGAGGAACATCTCAGCAAAGGGGGGTGAGAGTGGGTGCACCACCCAGAGAAGGCCCCCTGGGTGGCTGGGCTGTACGTGCTAACACGGTTGAGTTGGTGGGTGTTTGGCTGTGTAGGTTCTCAACAACAACATCAGTAAACATGTCCGAGAAGAACAAGCAGGGGGCAGAGAAATAAGAGGAAAAACACAGGGGAAAGCATTGAGGTTCTTGGGGAGAGTTAGTGCCTGAGAAGGCTGCTCAGAAAAAGATAGGTTGTTTTCATTTCTGGGAAAGAAATACCACATAGGTGCTAGATAGATAGGACAGCTGTGTCGCTCATCTGAGCCGGGACACATGTGAGAGGAGAGTGGCACTCTTGATAGTGATATTAACACGAAACAAAGAAAAACCCCCCACCTCACTGCCATCAAGTTGACACTGGCGCACAGTGAGTGTATAGGACAGGGTAGGCTTGCCCCTGCGAGTTTCCGAACAGGAAGCTCCATCCTTCTCCCATGGAGACGCTGGTGGTTTTCTAACTGCTGGCCTTTCAGATCAGAGCCTGCTGCGTAACCATTCACCACCAGGGCTCCTCAGGCTGAAAACCAAAGGCCAAACCATCCAGTCAATCCCAGTGATGTGGAGAGGGCCAGGGCAAATCTGTGTGCAGCGGACCCTACTGGCGGACAGCAGGCCCAGCCCTGAAGATCTGGACTAGTGACTGATGCTTCCCCCTAGGGGTGGAGTGCAGCAGCACATCAGGATTACATTTTACTTCGCGTGGGCCAGTTGGGTAAGGAAATGGTACATTCCCAAGGGCACAACGCTGATAGCCATCGGATTTTCATCTAAGAGTCCAGATGTAAATCCAGTGCTGCCTTCGCTGTAGACGTGCTACTGGTCTGTGCCAGCCGACCTACCCGTAGGTGTGTTATCTTGCCTACTTGCCACGTCAGGCAGCTTTGATTCTTGTTTTGAGTGTGTACACTTCCTCTCTGCTACAGAATCATGTGTGCCCACCGAGTCCATTGGCATCATGGTGCGTGCACTGTGCTGCCCTGATGCATTGACCTTGGGCAAAGCCATGTGGCCATTTGCTTTGGCCAATGCACCATGAGCTCAATGAGAAGAGAAGAAACCCTGGCTGTCCAAAGGTGAATCCACGCCACCCGGCAACTCCATCACTGGAGGTCCTGGAGGTCAGCTGCCATAGAGAGTGCGGCCTAGAGAACCTGTGGGCAGTTAGACTCTCTCACATGGGGTTACTCTGTGCCAAAACTTAGTGGCGCATAATACCACCCGCAATGGGATGGGAAGATCATTAAACGGGCTGGTGCATCAGGCAGCTAACCGCAAGGTCAGTGGTTCAAACACACCAGCCACGCTGAGGAAAACAGATGAGCCCTTCTGCTCTCATGAAGATTCAGAGACCCACAGGGACCATTCTACCCTGTCGTGGAGGGTCACTGTGAGTTAGACTCCATTGATGGCAGTGAGTGGGGTTTGGTCTGGACTTTCCTGCCCTCCAGGGACCAGCCAGG